TGTTCCTACTGGGCATCTGGCCCAAGTCAAGGCTACTGTTTATGTCTTTCTGTCTCTGACCTGCAGGGGGGAATTTCCTGTTATATTCTTTGGGGGGAGAGGATCCTTTTGTTTAAGTAACCAATCTCCCCCTTATACCCCCACCCCCATCTCCCATTAGCCTCCAAGGCCCCAGAGTGGCTTGGAGATCAGACGTCAAGGGTCACTGCCCTTGAGCTCCAGAATCCCTGCTCATGGGGGCCCTGTGAGCGCCCACCGAAGGTTGCTGCCTCCCCCCGGCTCCTCCCGCTTGCCAAGCTGGTGCCTGCGTCTGTATACTCATCTGCCATCACACACCTGCCAAAGAGGACCTCCCTTCCCACCTTCACCCCTCCTCTCCCTCCTGGCACTGGGAGAAGAGGGAGTTGGGTGGGGCAGCCCCCGCCCAGTCCATACCTGGTGGGGGGGGGGGATCTGGGAAAGGAGGTAAAGGTCGCAGCCCTGAGAGGCACCCAGCCCTCAACCTGGGGGCCTGTGTGCCTGCTGCAACCTCCACCGTCGCCAGAACCCCTGGGGGCTGTGGGTGTCTGTGGCTGCCCATGGGAGCCCACGTTGGCACAGGCGGTCATGTCTGCACACAGATTCCTGTGTTTGCCTGTGCATGCCCGCGCGCATGTGTCTGGTGTGTGTGTGTTTGTGGGTGGGCTGCAGTGGCCACCTGGGCCTCTTAGCATCACCCTTGTTGGCCCCCATGGTGTGCAGTCAGGGCATCAGTGCCAGATAGTTGGGAGTGGGGGTGAAGTATCTCCCCCCACCCTAGCAGCAGGCAAAGGGGAAGGGGAGAGGGAGGTGCGAACCTCCCCACAGCACTATTAATAGCCCACATGCCAGGCCACCAAGAACCAGCTGTCACCGTGGAAACCATTTCTGCTCTCCCCTCCCCCCAGCCTCCGTGAGGTGGGACTTAGGCGGGGCCTTGGGCACCCCCCACCCATCTTCCTTTGTTACCTTTCTCTCGGTGTCTCCTCCCCTCCTCTGCCCCTCAGTCTCCCCCACCCTCCCCTCCCCAGCCCCACCTCCAAGCCGCCTTTCTTCCTCTCCATCTCCTTCATTGTCATCCCTGCCTCTGCCCCAGTCGCGGCCGGTCTCTTTGTTCTTGCCCCTCCTCGTCCTTCCCCCCTCTCCGCCTTCGTCCCTTTCACCCTTCTCCTCTCTCTCCCCTTCTCTCAGCCCCCCTCTCTCTGCGTCCTTCCCTCTGCTTGGCAAGGAGGAGGGCTGGGCTTCCCTTAGCATTAAGGACAAGGTTCAGGGGCCCTGACCGGTGGGGCCAGAGCCAGGAGTAGACACAGGAGCCGGGTGTGGAGGCCTGGGGGCTCGATCCGGGGGCAGAGAGTCCCCCCTCTGGCAGCCCTAGGCATCCTTCCAGGGAGTCCCTTGGGTCCACAGGACTGCAGAGAGGGACAGTCCCGGCAGCGGGGACCTGGCCTGGTGCCTGTGGATGCTGCATTGGCCTCTTGTCTCTGTCCCCCCATCCCAGAAGCACTTAAGCTTAATGAAATGCTTCCCCCTCCACGGGCGCCTTGCCCACACTGCCACCAGGCAGCTCTTATCTGACAAAGAGGGAGTGGGTGGCCAGGCCCGCCGACAGGTGGGCCTTGCCTTCCGGCTGTCCAGCCCCTTCTCGCCGAGCAGCATGGCTCCAGCCCCTCTGCTTCCAGGGGGCTGAGCCTCTTTCTCTGCGGGTCTGTGCCCCCAGCAGGCACTTGGGGAATGGAGAGGATTGCAGGAGGAGGGGTGAGAGGCTGCCCTTCAGGGTGGGTGTCCCCGCCCCGCTTCCCCGTGGACTTTTATCTGCCCACGGCCGACACAGGCCTGGCCCACGTGCTCCTGTGGCCCATGTGCCTCCCTGCATGCTGGGCTCTCTGCCCGCTCTGTCGCCTCGGAGGCCCAGGTATGTCCCCAGAGAGACAAAAAGGAGCCCTCAGGGGTTCCAGCCTCTTGCTAAGTGCCAGGCGAGGGTGCCTTGAGCCGCGAGGGCAGGACCTTGCTCCTGCCTGCCGCCAGGGGCTCGGGGAGTCTGGGTGGTGCCCATGGGCAGCAGGCACCGGTCTGCTCAATGCCCCTCCCAGCAGGCACGTGCAAGCCCTTGGCAGTGCCCAGACACATTTGGAGTTAAGACTGGACCTGGGAGGGGGAAGGGAAGGTAAACATGGTGGCGGAGGTTGGCGCTGCCCCAGGGGTGGCCTGTCGGGGCAGTGGCAGGAGTGAGCGGGGAGGGGGTTCCTCCGGCTCCACGGCCTGCGAGGGAGCTGCCCACGCCAGGCGCTGCTGCCGGGATTCCCCGCCTGGCCTGGCTCACAGCTGTCGGTACCCAGGCCTGCACACCCTAGCGGCCTTCACCTGCCCCAGGGCCTGCTCCCAGGGCTGCCCCATCTCCCAGCGCCCACCCCTGTGCCTGCCTCCTCCCCTCCCCGGGGGCGCCCGGGCCTCAGGCTGGTGAGTGGATTTTTCCAGCTTCTGTAAACAAGTGGTGGCAGCATGCCAGGTGAGCAGGAGACAGGCGGGGGCAGCACCACAGCCAGGGTGTGCCAAGCACCGAGGCACAGTCTTGGGGGGAGGGGGAGCCCGGGAGATACCCAGCCCCCGGGAGAGAGAGACATTCAGATGCAGACGGACAGACCAGAGGAAGCTTCACTGGGCACAGAGAGGAGTGGAAACAGAAAATCACCCTCTATTGTCAGCCCCACCCCCACGACTGCCCTGGCCCCCCTGCCCCTCGGCGCTCTGGCTGGGAGCGGCAGGCCCCTGTGCCCAGGCCCTGGGCAACCCCACCCACTCCTTTTCTCCCCCACCTCCACCCCTTAGGGCTGGCTACGCCATTATAAATTTATAACAGGAATTTCTCCGCAAGCCAAGAAAAACTTGACCTACTTTCTTGACGGCTCCCTGGGCTAAGGCTCCCCGCTCGCACCCGCCCCCCCCCAATGTCTCCTGTCCAGCCCCCAGTCCTGGTCTGTGGGGGTATCAGAGGCAGAACGGGCCACCCTTCTGTCCTGCCCTGCTCCCCAGGATGGGGACTCACCCCAGTGCCCTGTCCCGTGGCCCGGCCCTGCCCTGCCCTGCCCTGCCCAATGGCCTGACTTATCTCTCCCTTGCCCTCCCACCCTGACTCCTTATCAGTTCCTGGAGGTGGGGCCGAGGGGCAAAGCCTCTGGTGCAACAGCCCCACAATGGAGGGATGAAGGGGTGTGTGCAGGGAGCTGCACCTTTTGTCCCCTCTCATGTGCCCACACCTGCCTGTGTGGGCAGATACGGAGCCTCAGGTCTGCAGCCTGAGGTCAGCAGTGTGGCATGGAGGGAATGGTTGGCCCAGGTTGGCACTGCTCTGGACCCCAGGCAGCAGAACCAGGCCAGCGTTGGAGGCAGTCTGCTGACTAGCTGTGCCCACTTGAGTGAACGGTCAAGCTTTCTGAGGCTTCGTTTACTCACCTGCAAAGTTCTGATACCAGAGGGCACATATTCTCTGTGCCATTAACAGGGGTTATTTTCCATTCCCTGTCCCCTTGCCTTCCTGGTGGGTGGTAGCTCAGCTAAACCAATGGGGAAGGGGAAGCCTGGTCCTCAGACTGGGAAGTGTGATGTGGGACCTTGTATGGGAATCTCCTTGTGGGGCCAGGGTTGGGCCAGAAGCTGGGGGAGGGGGCAGCCCCCTACTATTTTCAGCGTCCCTCTTCACTGAGGCACTCAGGTGGGTGTTCAGGATTCCTGCATGCCACCTCTACAAACCACACTTCCTTCCCCAGTACCCTCCCCGCCCCCTGCTGCCTTGTGCCTGGGCTCAAAGCTGCCCATCTCTGGTGACCTCTTGCCCTACAGTGCCGATGAGTTTTAGGAAAACTTGGCGAGGGGGTTGGTAATAGCAGCTGATGTTTAATAGACCCATATGAAGGGCCAGAAACTTCCCAGGTGGTGCTAGTGGTAAAGAACTTGCGTGCCAATGCAGGAGACACAAGAGAGATGGGTTCGATCCCTGGGTCAGGAAGATTCCCCTGGAGAAGGAAATGGCAACCCACTCCGGTATTCTTGCCTGGAGAATCTCATGGAGAGAGTAGCCTGGCGGGCTACAGTCCATGGGGTCGCGAAGGGTCAGACACAACTAAAGCGACTTAACACACACACAAGGGCCTCATTTGATTGTGAGGATTGAGGCAAGGTACATGGATGACCTCATTCTTTCCCTCCATCCTTTTTCATGTCTGGAGATCAGGCTGTGGATCTCCGGGCTTGCCTGCTGTGTGGTGGTTATTTTTTTTTTTTTGCCTGTTCTCTGTTGATTTGAATGATTATCCTGGTCCTCTCCCTGTGCCCACCCTCTGTGACTACCACTATCTCATTATTTTCATTTTCAAAGTATTTATTTATTTATTTGGCGTGCTCCAGGTCTTAGTGGTGACACATTGGATCTCAGGTCTTCCTTGCGGTGTGCAGGAACTTCAGTTGTGGCTTGCGAACTCTTAGTTGCAGCCTGTGGGGTCCAGCTCCCTGACCAGGTATTGAACCTGGGCCCCCTGAATTGGTGGCGTGGAGTCTTAGCCACTGGAGCACCAGGGAAGTCCCCCCACCATCTCATTATGAGCCCCAAAATGTTGGTACCAAAGGAATCCTATTCGCCTAGACCCACATGGCACCGCCTTATCCCTGCCTCTCTCCTCTCTCTGCAGGGACCTCTGGACAGGACAAGATTCTGAAGTTACTCTTCCCACCTAGGACCCCTTTACAGACCCGGCTTGCTCCCCCACCCAGCCCTACCACCTGCCATTCCCTGGCCCCTTTCACCGCCCGCCCCCCTTGGGGCTCAGGGCATGGTGTGAAAGGCCAAGTGCTGAGGCGGGCACCATGGGTGCTGTGCCCTAGGGCCTGGGTGGCAGGGGGTGGGTGGCCTGTGGGTGTGCCGGGGGGGCCAGTGTGCCCACCCCAGTCTCTCGGCGTGCTGGAGGGCATCCTGGATGGAATTGAAGTGAATGGAACAGAAGCCAAGCAAGGTGGAGTGTGGGTCAGACCCAGAGGAGAGCAGGTAATGCGTTCGGCAGCTACGTCGTGCCAACTCCTAGGTAGCAAGCAGGGTCACCTGGCTGGGCCCAAGAGAGCTGAGCTTGGGCCTTTTAAGTACCTCTGTGGTGGGGACTGGGGCGGGGGCATGAGGCCAGCCAGCCTGCTGCCTACCTTTGCCCAGGAGATGAGGTCATGTTCCCATGTGGCAGGGAATTAGGCACCTGGATGGAGAGATGCCCATTCTAAAAGGGGGAGGTGATGTAGAGTAATTATAGGCGGCAGGCACGTGGCCCCTCCCTGGATGGTGCTGGGCATCTCAAATCCTGCCCCACCCCCCATGGTGTCCCCTCAGCCACCCATACCTACGTCTGTGGAATCCAAACAGCCTTGCCATTTACCTCCTTCCCCTACCAGCTCATTCACTTCTGACTGCGGTCCAGAAGCCATGGTGCCTGTTACATGACATTTCAGGGCACGTGGTCCAGTAGCTGTTGGTCGCAGCTCACACTTATATTTGGAACCCATTGGGAGCCTCACAAGCTCTTCCTTGTTCATGGGCAAGGGCGGGCACTGCCATGGGGCTCCTCCCAGGAAGTGGAAGTGAATACCAGCTATGAAGATTTTGCTCCCACGTGGAGCAGACATCAGCCTTGCACACACAGCTAGGGATGGCTTACCTACCATCTGCAGTGCCTTTCAGAAGCCCAGAGGGTCTCTGCCTCTCCCATCGGCTCCAAGTAGCACAGAGCTCGGTCTCTGTTGGCGTGGTGCCCTGGGAGCTGGGTACAGCCTGTGCCTATGGCCAGGGAGAGGGTGGGGGATGGGTGCTCTGGGGAGCAGTGTGGCCGTTGCCTAGGAGACCAGATCCTGAGCCAGGAGGCTGGAGTCCTGGCCCAGCAAAGCCCTGGGGCCCAAGACTGGGTCCCTGGAAGGGTGGAGGAAGTGGATGGGGCTGGTTGTTGGGTAAGGGCAGTGGGGTATCCCCCTACCCAGTCCCCACCCCAGGGAACTCTGAAAGAGATTTAGCCTGTCATTGCATAGCTTTCACTTACAGCCTCTGTACCTCCCTGCCCAGACTTATTCTGTGGGTCTGGGAGAGTCTGCTCCTAATGCAGAGAAAGGCGGGAATGCCAGTTCCTGGTCCCCCAGGACTGCAGCCCCTCCCCGACAGCCTCCCCTCCCCCATGTCCATGCGCCACCTTGTGGCTATCCGTGGTACTGCACCCAGAGGCTGTAAGTCTGATTAATTGCTGAAGACCGCCAGCTCAGCTGGGGCCTCGTAGCTAGGCGGTCCTCCACACCCACCCCTCCGGAGACAGGAGGCAGATCTGACCCTCGAACCATTCTAGAAATTAGACAGGGGTAATCCCCAGGGTGTATGGAACACAGAGCTATCTGTGACTGTGACCCTGGCCAAGGTCACTGTGTCAGTGTGTTGGTAGTTGCATCGGGCTCTGGAGGGAGGCTCTGCAACATGCCACACACAGGGTGGGTGTGAGAGGTTATACAATCCGTGCATGCATGTAGAAGGCTTATGTAACCTGTGTGTGCCGAGATTATGTAACACATATGTGAAGAGGCTGGCCACATACGTGTGCAGTGGCTGAGGGCTGCTATAATACCTTGTGTGGAGGGGCCCTGGGTCTGTTCTGGCTCTGACCCCGGCCCACTGTGTCAGCTGGCACAGGTGGGGCCTCAGTTTGCTGTTCTGTTAAATGGGGGCTGTAGACAGGGTGGCTTTGGGAGTCCCATTCTTTTCTCATGTTCTTGAGTCTAGGATCTGGTGGTCCACTGTGGTTATCTAGCATGTGTGCATGAGCTGAAAATCAAGTGACATGCTCGTTGCGGGGAGGGGCATGGTATTATTAGGTGCCTGTCTGGAGGGTTGTGAAACACGTGGGCATATCCTCGAGGTCGTATAACATTTGAGAAAGCCCTGAAAGTCACATCCACATAGATAATAGAGACTGCGGCTTACGTACCATGCTTGGGTTTATACTGAAGGCAGCATAGTTGTTCATATGTTCATATGTGCTGGTTTTATGCTGCATATATTTGTGTGTATTCTAAAGCTTATATAGTTTTAAGCATGTCCTAAAGATTCATGTCCTAAGATTCTTTCTGCATATGTGTCAAGCACTAAACGCTTAAATATGTGGGTGTTTTATAGATGATGGATGTTTAAGGTTCTCTAATGTGTGTGTGAGTGTGTGTTGGGACTCTTGAACATGCTTGTGCCCCAGCCAAGCCCCTTATCTCTTGTTCAGATAACTGGACCCTTCTCGGTTTTGTCAGCTGACCTGAAGGTGGGAGGCAGATGGAGGGAGTCAGGCCTGAGGCATGACCTCAGCCTATTGGATACAAAGGGGGGCTGCCCAAGGTCTGCTCTCTGATTCTACCCACGTTGCCCCTATCCAGTACCAGGTCACCAGATGGAAAGCGAAAAAGAAAGAACGGCCAATGTTCCCTGAAAACCAGCATGTCAGGTGAGCCTGGCTGCGCATGCCCTTCCTGCCCACCCTCAACCCCTCCGAACCAGCAAAGGGCTCTTCTGGGGCCTGGGCTTGTACCAGCAGTTCCTGTGTCCCGTGGGAAGAGCCTCCTGGAGAGCTTGGGCTGGACTTGTCCGGGTGAGAGGTGTGACGTGGAGCATGCCCCAGCCATTGAGGATGGAGGAGGTCAGGAAGCGCCTCTTCCCTTCTCTTCTCCCATCACGCCCTTGCCTGAGGTCCCCAAGATGAGCTGCTGAGGAGATTTGCTTCTCCTTCTCCTGTGCCCCCTGCCCCTGGGATGCAGCAAGAGAGAAAAGCCTGGAAGGGGCAGTCAGAAGAACTGGATTCTCCATATTCTTAGGGAAGGGGATGAGCAAGATGACCTTGATATGTCTTCAGGACTCTGCCCGGAGACAGAGAACCCTTCAGGGAGGCTGGGCAAGGAAGGAAAAGCGGGGGGATGGAGAGAGTATAGAAGCCTCTCTGCTGGGGCCCCAAGCCATGCCTGCCTGCCTGCCTCCCTTCCTCCCTCCCAGGGTATATCCCTAGTTACCTGGACAAAGACGAGCAGTGTGTCGTGTGTGGGGACAAGGCAACCGGTTATCACTACCGCTGCATCACTTGTGAGGGCTGCAAGGTATGGACCAGCCAGCTCCTGCCCCTCCCCCACCACCTGAGCCCCCATTGCATTCCCGTTAAGTCCCTCAGTGCCTGGCCCAACAGACAGCTCTATAAATGTGTAACCTAAAGCTCACCTATTACATCGTCATTTCCCTTATTCATTCATTCATTCGTTCGTTCATTCATAATCACTGCTCTGCCATTCACAGGCAAGATGTCTCATCTCTCTAAGCCTCAGTTTTTTCATCTATAAAATGGGTTAGGATAATGATAATACCTACCACATAACATTGTTGGGAGAATTAAATGAGATAATGCACATCGAGTATTTAAAACGGAGCCAAACAGAAAAGAAGCACTCAACCAATGTCTGCTTCCATCCATCCACTCAGTGTTTTAAGTGTCAGATGTGTAGTATCTGCCTTGACCTCAAGCTGCTCACAGCCTACCAGAGAAAGACTGATGGCAGCTGAAAGCAATATCACTGTTTTTTAAATGTAGTTCCTGGACCGCCTATAGTACTTGTTAAGTGCAGATCCCCAGGCCTCATCCCAGCCCTGCTCAATCAGAACATTTTGTGATGGCTGCCAGGCATCTGCCTTGGAACAGGCTCCCCAGTTGCTTCCACTGCCCCTGATAGGTTGAGAACCATTGCTCGGGAGGGGCATGGTGGAGCCCAGAGGAGAGGATGGCAGAGGGGACAAGGTCACAGCTTGGGGAGACTTAATTAGATCTCACTTTGGGCATTTCAGCCTACATGGTTTTTCTAGAGTCATCACCTCCTAAAAATATGAGAGCTTTCAAGAAGCAGAAAGAGTAAGAATACGTCAAGGCTTCAAGATCCTCTTTCTTGGTGTCAGTCGAGCCAAGACCACCACGAATGGAGAGTCCCCTGGCAGCGTTCCTGGAAGCATCACCAGCAGTGTAGCACAGAACAGGGAGTCCCACCTTCAAGGCCCTCTGAGTCCCAGTGGGTCATCCCAAAAGGACAGAGATGTCTCCCCACTCCTAGAGAGTACGATGATATAGGTTTAGAGTGAGGCCCAGGGATCTGTATTTTTGATCGGTACCCTAGGTGGATTTTAATTGCGCCCCAGAATCTGAGAGCTCAGACCTTGCGTCTCATACCTCAGGTCCAGTTCTGACTGTTTAGCCATACGACTTTGGGCAAATGGCTTAATCTTTCCAAGCTTCAGTTTCTTAGTCGGCAACATGGAGATAGTAACAGTTCCTACCTCATGGGGTTGACACCAGCGTTAAAGGTGATGATACATGAAAGAAAAGGTTTAGAAGCTCCTGGCTCATTGTAAGTATGCAGCAGACATTAGTCCTTCATATTACTACTACCATCTTGAGTCTTGAGGCTTTTTTCCTTTAAAACAAAGATTAAACTCCATATATAAAATTGAAAATTTTCTTTTCAAGCTATTACATACGAGTCCACACCCAATGCCTTTTCTTGATTTTTTTGACATTCTCCCTGCCCCCTACCATTTCAGGAATTCCACCTGCTTAGGCAACAGGCAGCAGGTATGAGAATGGTTTGGGGCCAGTGTTGTTTTTAAGAGTCGTTTAGCAAGATAGAAAATCAGGTATTAGCTGGATGTCCAAAGTGGCTGTTCCTTCAGGCCTCGTCATATTTCACACCCTCCCAGGCTCAGATCTCCCCATGGTCACCATGCTGACCTCTGCCACCACCACTGCCCAGGTGCCCCGCAGGCAGTTGGGGGCTGAAGATGTGTGTTTCTAAGTCCTGGCAGAGCCCAGATGATGCTGGGCTTGCTCTGTCCAGAGGATGCCATGTCCCCTCACTAATTGCCCTAGCCCCCCGCCCCCTGCCAGAGAGCTGCATGGTTGTTTCAGGAAGAGAAGACCGTGATCACACCATCTCTGTCTCCCCGCCCCCCCTGCCCCCTGCCAGAGAGCTGCATGGTTGGTTCAGGAAGAGAAGACCGTGATCACACCATCTCTGTCTCCCTCCCCCCACCCCCACTCCAGGGCTTCTTTCGCCGCACAATCCAGAAGAACCTCCATCCCACCTACTCATGCAAATATGACAGCTGCTGTGTCATTGACAAGATCACCCGCAATCAATGCCAGCTGTGCCGTTTTAAGAAGTGCATCGCTGTGGGCATGGCCATGGACTGTAAGGGGATGGGTGGGCGCAACCGGGCCAGGCAGCTGTGGGTGGGGGTGTGTTCAGATGCGGCAACTCCCTTCCAGGGTACCCACAGGGTAGAGTGACCATCTGGGTCAGGCTGGTGATGGAATGAGTATTCTTGGTCCCTGCTGCCCTCATCTCAGAAGAAAAGGAAACAGAGGATCCCTCTATTGGCCCTGAGCATGGGCCCTGGTGCCTACTTGCCTTTTACCAGTCAAGGGCCTTTTTAGAGAGAGTTGTTGGGTAGAAATAAGTCCTGAGTACCCCACCGTAATGCAGTATCTCTGACTACCAGGGAAGGCGCTCCACTTCTCTGTGGGGTGAGAGAGGGCATCTTTCATTAGCTAGGGACTGGATGGCTCAGTCTTCTGGTAACCACTGTCACCTTCAGACCAGCACATGGTATCCTCTGGGTCAGCCCAAATCGGAGTTGTTGTGGTCCCAGTGATTATCATGATCTAGGTTGTGCCACCCCACTACTAGGGAAGTCATTTAGCCTCTCTTGGCCCTTCCCCTCAGTTTCTCCAACCTGAATACTGGGAAGAGTAGTTTCTGAGCAGGTTACAGAGTGTGCAAAGGGCATTGTGTCTGTTGTTGACAGTGGTTCTAGATGATTCGAAGCGGGTGGCCAAGCGCAAGCTGATTGAGCAGAACCGAGAGCGGCGACGGAAGGAGGAGATGATCCGATCCCTGCAGCAGCGACCAGAGCCCACTCCTGAAGAGTGGGACCTGATCCATGTTGCCACAGAAGCCCATCGCAGCACGAATGCCCAGGGCAGCCATTGGAAGCAGAGGCGGAAATTCCTGGTAAGGAGAGAAGGGGCATGAGTGAAGTGGCAGCCTGGTGGCCAGGAGAGGAGAGCGAATTCAGAGTCTTGCCTCCTCCAGGAAGCCTTCTTAGATTAGTCCACCCCAAAGCTGCTAGTCTGCACAACTTGGCATTTCTGATTTGTACACCTGTGTATGTGTCACTGCCTTTTCCATCTGATTGGGAGTTCCATGAGGGCAGGGCCTTGCCTCATCAAATTTTCAGTGAAGGGGGGCGGATCTCTCCTCTTTTTCTTGTCCCCAGTGACTAGGAGGTAGGGGCAAGGACACAGTCATGGAACAGTATTTTAGGGAGCCTCCTGGGTGCCACGCGTTGTTTTGGGCCCTGGCAAAACTGAATGCCAAGGAAATGGTCAGCGTGGGAGGAGATGGACAGTTGGTTGTATATGGTGGGGGAAGGCAGAGAACTTCTGATGGAGTGTGTCAGCGGGTGAAACAGTACACTGTAAGGAGCACCAGCTCTGAAACCAAGCACGTGTGTGTGTGTGTGTGTGTATGTGAAACAGGGATCAAACTGCCTGGGTTCAAATCCTGTTTCCACCACTTACTAGTCCCTTGACCTTGGGCTTATTACTTAGCTACACTCTGTCTCAGTTTCCTCATCTGTGAAATGGTGATAACATCAACTAATGGTGATAAGTCATGGTGACGATTAAATGAGATAATACGTGTAAAACACAGGGCCCAATTCCTAGCTACGTATTAGTCAAATATAGCTTCTGTTGTTTTGACATTACCGCTACTGGTGTCATGATCCTTCTTATTATTAGCCAGCTTGGAGCTCTGGGCTAGCCTGTTCTCTGCCGCAAGGAGGGAGAAGCCCTAGGCCTGGGACGCAGAGTCCCTAGCTGCGGTTCCCCACCCCCCCCCACCCCCCCCACCCCCGCCCCCGGCTTCCCCAAGCTGCCTTGGAGCTCCCCCTGGTGGGCAGGGAGCCTCAGTGAGTGGGTGAAAGGGGTCTGCAGCCCCAACTGACCCCCGTCTCTCCCTCTAGCCGGATGACATCGGCCAGTCACCCATTGTCTCCATGCCAGACGGAGACAAGGTGGACCTTGAGGCCTTCAGCGAGTTTACCAAGATCATCACCCCGGCCATCACTCGCGTGGTGGACTTTGCCAAAAAACTGCCCATGTTCTCCGAGGTGAGTGATGGAGGGGAGGAGAGACCTGGTGTCACACTGGAGGGAAACCTTGGGCTGCTCCCCGGGCCACCCAGTCCCAGCTCATCCTTATCTGAAGCTCTCTGGACAGGAAGCAATTCCTATAGGTCAAAACACCCAACACACACACATGTACACACAAGGTGAGCTGATTCCTAAAGAACTGACAGGCTCTGTGGGCCCAGCCCTGCACCCTTAGCCTCTCCCTACCCATCTCCCCACAAGTCTACATGACCATCCTGACTCTGGAGCTTCTTATTTTAAAGAGCACATACTCTGTAGAAAGGCTGCCCTGCTGGCTTGTGACCTTGGCCACGTAGCCTAACTCCCCATACCTCCCTTTGCTTATCTGCAGTGGGCATGGAGGTAGTGACAGGACCTAACTCAGAGACCTAGCGGTGAGGCTTAGTGAAGCAGGGCCCGTCTGCCACCTAGTACAAGGGTAGCTGTCCAAAGCATGCGTTCCCGGTCGGTGGTGGCCTTGAAGTTCCCAGGGGCACCTGCAGGGGACGCTCGTGGGGAGGGGCATGCTGAGTGATCCTGTGGCTCTGCAGCTGCCTTGCGAAGACCAGATCATCCTCCTGAAGGGGTGCTGCATGGAGATCATGTCCCTGCGGGCGGCTGTCCGCTATGACCCCGAGAGCGACACCCTGACGCTGAGCGGGGAGATGGCTGTCAAGCGGGAGCAGCTCAAGAATGGCGGCCTGGGTGTCGTCTCTGACGCCATCTTTGAACTGGGCAAGTCACTCTCTGCCTTTAACCTGGATGACACGGAAGTGGCTCTGCTGCAGGCTGTGCTGCTAATGTCAACAGGTACCTAGCCTGGGCGGGTGGGCTCCGGAGCTTCCAGGGACCAAGAGCTTGGCTGGGCCCCAGGCTTGTCCTTCTTTAACCCCTCAGTCTCTCTGCTCCCCAAGCCCACCTCTCTGACCCCCACACTTATCCCTGTCCCCAGGCCCATCCTCTGTCCACTGTCCCCTGGTCTGTCACCCATCCCCGCTCTGTTCTTCTCTCCAGGGCCATCTCTAGCTTCCTACACCCTCTTCTCCTATCCTGGCTTCATTTTTCGCCTCTGCCCCACATCTCTCTGTCTCTTATAGTTCCCTTTGTTCCCCACCCCTGACTCTGTTCCCGTCCCCCTTCTCCCCCTCCCTCCTCTCTTCTCAGTCCCCCTCCCCCCCTCCCCGTCCCTGGTCCCTGCCCCCCCACCTCTCCACCCCCTAGGTCTGCCTCATCTCCTCGTCCCCTCTCTTCCCAGGCCCACCTCTGACTCCTGTCTGCTTCACCTGCCCCTCCACGCACTTTGCCCTGCAGTTGCCCCCTACTTGCCCCCTGCCCCGCAGAATGCGTGTCTTTCTCCATTCTCCCCCAGCCTCTGCGCCCACCCCTCCCCCGTCTCAGCCTCGTGCCCCTCCTTCCCTGCAGACCGCTCGGGCCTGCTGTGTGTGGACAAGATTGAGAAGAGTCAGGAGGCGTACCTGCTGGCGTTCGAGCACTACGTCAACCACCGCAAACACAACATTCCGCACTTCTGGCCCAAGCTGCTGATGAAGGTGACTGACCTCCGCATGATCGGGGCCTGCCACGCCAGCCGCTTCCTCCACATGAAAGTCGAGTGCCCCACCGAACTCTTCCCCCCACTCTTCCTCGAGGTCTTTGAGGATCAGGAAGTCTAAAGCCTCAGGCGGCCAGAGGGTGTGCGGAGCTGGTGGGGAGGAGCCTGGAGAGAAGGGGCAGAGCTGGGGGCTGAGGGAGAACCCCCACACCTCTTCTCTCCTCCCTCTCGTCCTTGGATAGATTCAGCTCCCCACACACACCCCCACACTGCCCTGTCCCTCCTCAGAACCTCCAGCCCTGGGACAGGGCAAACAAATGAACTTGCTATGAAAAGGACAGTGTGGGAGGCTGGGGGGTGGGGGGACGGTGTCCTGCAGTTGCCAGGACCTTGTCCTCTGAGAAGGTAGGAGAAGGGAGGGAGAACTAAGAGCGGATAAGCCATCTTGACCGTAGGGGAGAGAGGAATGTGGGGTGGGGGCAAAGGCCCTCACTCACCCCCTACACACACACAAGAGAGAGCCCCCTCGCCCAGTCTCTTGGCCTAGGTCCCCCCTCCAGGCTGAGGGCCTCTCTGCTTCCCCAGATGCCTGGTGCAAAGAAAGGCTTGGCTTGGCTCCTCCCCTGGAGGTTAAAAATTACAGTCATTCTAACTGCACTTTGGAAACCAGGCAAGGGGAGAAGATAAATGAAGAAATACTAGACAGAGGAAAAAAGAGCGAGCGACTGATAGAGAGATGATATTAAGTTATTAACTGAGGCTGGCCAGAGGGGAGGACCCCCCCTCCCACCCCCGAGCACTTTGAGAGCTGCCCCCTCCTCCCCCCAAATCAGAGAGAACTGCCCCCGCCCCACGTCAGGTCCCCAAGGGTAGGGCTGCCATCAGAGCTGTGAGTTAACACAACAGGGTCCTGGCCACGCCCCCTTGCCGTGCCCCTCCCTCCGTGCCCTCTGGCACCGCCCCCCCCGCCCCCGCACTCCCTCTGCTCTCTGCCACTCGTGCCCGCTGAGTTCCATCTACCTCTCACTCTGGATGCCAGCTGGCCCCTCACCAGCCTGCCCTGCTGCCCGCACAGCTCCCCTTTCAAGTGCCCAGCCCTGGGGGCCTCTCCCCGTCACCCCCCTCCTCCTCTGCACCTTGGCACCCACACAGGAAAAACTGTGGCTCAAGCTCCCGCCCTCCTCACATCCTGCAGTATTAGCTCCGATCCAGATGCTGCTGCCCCGGGGCGGGGGTTAGGGGGGCGGCGTGGGGGGAGGCGAAGGGGATGTGCGTGAGCTTCTCCCAGAGCCTGCCCCCCCCCCCCGCGGGCCCCTGTTCCCATCCGTCTGCTGGGCTCTCTCTAACCCCTGCCCTCCTTTCCCGCTCCCACTGCACTACCCCAGACTCTGGGCCAGCGGGCCCCGGAATGGGGGTGCTTAGATCAGTGGCACTTAGTCAAGGCCCTGGTGGGGAGGGCGGTTGGTGCTCCGCCTTTTTCCTTTGAAGCTCTTTAGGCCAGCCGCCCCTGTGCCCCTGGGACCCCTTCCCCCTCTTCTTTTCTCTAATTCAGGGACTTTGGCTTGAGCCACCTCCCACCCTCCTGGTGAGGAGTGCTCTGTTGGTCTGCACTTGGGTGAGCTGCCCTCCTCCTCCCTTCTTTGTCAGCGCCCACTCCGCAGGGAAGAGAGGGAGGGAGGAGGTAGCCCTCTGAGGGTGGGGGCGGGGAGGGCGGGAAGGGACAGAGCAGACCGGAGGGCCCTGGGCTCAGGGCTGCATGTCGGCAGGGATGGATGGGTGGACATAGATGCCCCCGGAAGCCATGGGGAATGGGGCGGGGGGCGGGGGGCGGGGTGCCAGGGCTTCCTGCGCTTTGCACTATTGGGGCAAAATGTCTTAAGCAGTGGGGAACCTGCCACCCCACCCTGACCCTCAGCCTGCCACAGCCCCCTATACACATGCACACACACGCGTGGAAACACACACACAGACACACACACACCCCCACACGGGAAGGCAATGCTATGCTGCCCATCAGGGCATGTCCTTTCCCCACTGTTCAGGTGTTGGGACGGGGTGGAGGGCCTGGAAGAGCAGCGCTGTCACCTGTGCATGTGCCTGCCCCGCCCCCTTGGGCTCTTGGGCTGCCCATGCTGTCTTTGTCTGTCTTGATTCCCATCTCTCTCCTGGGGTACTGATTCCTATATTACTCCAGTCCCATGGATAAGCCCTCTCATACCCTCCTCCCACCCCTGGGGGCCCAGTGGAATTCCTGACCTGTCTGCTGTCTCCCCGTCCCTCCATCCCCACTGCCACGTCTCCATTCCCATTCTCAGCCATGCACATGGTGGAGAAAAGGCCTCCAAGAGGCTTGGCCTCTTACAGGCACTTGGGAAACCCTCCCTACCCCCCCCCCCCCCAGTCATATGAGCTGTGATCCCCCACTCCTCCCCATAACCCCTGACCCCTCCCCCCCCTCAGTGAGGTGGGGTGTGTGTGTGTGTGTGTGTGTGTGTGTGAATGTGTGAGCAAGTACACATGGTGGGGGAGGAGCTGGGGGACTCAGGAGTGCCACGCACCTGCTCTAGAGGGGCAGCCAGCCGTCCCAGTCCCTGCTTTGGAAGTGGGGGACAGGGCCCTCTCCTGGGGGCCATTGGTGCTAATGAGGGGGATGGCCTTGACGTGGGTGCTTAGCCTGCCTTCCCCAGTATTGGCCCGGGGCACTAGGGCAGGCAGAGTGGGGGCAGCAGGTGCAGTATTGGTGGGAGGAGGGGGCCAGGCCAGGACAAGGGGGTGCCAGAGCCATGACCACTACCCCACCCCCACCACCCGCCTCTCCATCTCAGTATTCCCCCTCCCATCACTCATAACACACATACCTCATCCAGCCTCCTCCCTGCTCAGACCTGGGGAGGGTGGGGGTGGAGGAGCCCCTACCCCTTCCCCTGGTGGCGGGTCTACAGGGCTGGGAGAGGGCGGGGCGTGTGGCAGAGACACCGTCCAGAAGGGGGACAGTAATTCCTGCCCTGGGAGCTCCTGGGTGGGAGGAGGGGACAGTTCCCTGCAGGCGCTACTGAATGTATGAGAAGCTGGTGCTGGGGTGGGGGGAGGGGGGCTGTGGCCAGAAACAGGGAAGGCGGTAGGTCCCTTCCCCGGGGAGGGGTTGGGGCCAGGAGGGGTGACCTGGGGGCTCCTACTCCTGCCCCACGCTGACAATCAGTATGTCTGTTATGTGCGATTTTTCACCCCGTTGTGTTTTGGGTCAGGATTTTAAAGAAAGATATTTTTATGGTAATTGTTGCTCGTCTATTTTACTATATATTTATGTAATAAATATATGATGAAAATAACCCCCTTGGGCACCCCCCCCCTTAGACTTGCGTGCTGTTTCCCTGTATCCTCCCATCTGCTGGCAGAGTACCCACCCCCAGACTGACCAGATGGAGAGGAGTGCCCCCAGCCCTGGCCATACTCCCACCACCCCCTCCCCCTCCCCCCAGAACGAGCACACACCACAGAAGCCAGCTCAGCTGTGAACTATTGGATTTGAGACAGGAATAGAACAGATCGGGGGGCTAGAGAGAAAGAGCGGGGTGGGGGGGAGAGTGGTTTAAATAGGGGAGGCTGGGGAGGTGCAGTGATGGGGGAGGGAGGCAGGTATTTACAAGAAGGCTCGGGGGGGCCAGAGGCTCATCTTGGAATATTTTATAACAATATAAATAAGATTCTGGTTTGCTTTTCCTTTTCGTCTCGTAAAGGAGAGAGAAGTGCAGAGTTCGATTCTGTACAAGGGGGCAGCGGCGGAAGGCCGGCCGGGCGGGTCACTGGGCGTCCACCCGGAAGGACAGCAGCTTCTCGGAGTGCATGTTGTTCAGGGTCCGCAGGTCCGGCAGCTTGAGCAGCAGCTTGGTGAAGCGGGAAGTCTCCGAGGGCCGGTTCTTCAGCACCAGAGCCCGAAGAGCCCGCAGCAGCGTCTCCTGGAGCTGCTCCACCGAAGCGGAATTCTCCATTCCCGAGCGGTCTGTGGGGAAGACGACAGCAGTGAGGCAGACTCCCTGAGCACCTCCGACTCTGACGAGGAGGAGGAGGACGCGGAGGTCTGCGAGGACGCAGCGGTGGCCACGCAGCCTCTCCCTGAAGCCCCTCAGAGGGCCGACGGGGAAGGAGCGGGAGGGGGAACATAACGCCCTCCCCCAGGCCCTGACCCGAGAGCAGGGGATGCCTGCAAACTGGGAGCCCAGGCTCAGCAGGGCCGGCCCCCCTCCCACCCCACCAGGCCACTCTCCTTCCCTGAACAGGCCCAACAGGGCCCTGGCTCCCCCACTGCTCCGTGCTCTGTGGTTCCCTCTGCCTGGGACGCCCTTCCCCCCTCCTCTGCCTGGCAGTATCTCTACTTGTCCTTTGAGGCCCCACTCGAGTGTCACCTCCTTCCCCAGCTCCCCAGGCAGAAATAGTTGTGTGTGCTCCCAAAGCCCTTGGTTCATGCTTCTACTGTGACACTTATCTCACTGTTTTATAATTAGTCGGGCATGAGTCTGTCTCCTGAGCTAGACTGTGTCTGAATCATGTCTGTATCCCCAGTGCCCGGTGCAGGGCCTGGCCTAGAGTAGGTACTCCATAAAAGGTGTGTTGAATCGAACTGCGTCCGCCTCCTCCCCGGTTAGGCTCAGGCGAGAGCCTGACCTACCTGCAGAGACGAGCACCACCGCGGTGAAGAGGCCCAGCTCCTCCTCGGTAAGCGCCAGGGAGTTGAGCTTCTCGCTGAAATCGAACATGGCGTTGAGCAGGTCCCCCATGCCCATGGCGCCGAGCTCCTGCAGGCTGTAGGTGGTGCGGCTCAGGAACATCACTGTCTGGTCCTTCACGTTGAACAGCGACGCAAAGCGCACCATCAGCACCTGAAGCGGGGACAGGCGTCCTGGGTGGGGCGGAGGACTTGCCAAATCGCCCCTACCGCTTTCTGAAGGGGTTACCGGTGCTGCCTTGGATTTCTTAGCCAAGCCTGGGCTAGTTTCTGAGTGGTCAGTGAGGCGGGGCGGGTGGAAGGATGGGGAACATCCCACCGGCTTTGGAATCCAGCGGGCCTGAATCTGAGTCTCAGCCTTGTCACTCCCTGTGACCCTGGGCAAGGCCCTTCGCCAAAGTGAATCTGCTCATGCCTAGAACAGGGGGGCGGGGGGTAGCGCTGTACTCTGAAGTGTTATTTTACGGTAACAGGATGTGATTAGACCCCATTTGAGATGACAGAAGTTCCAGCCATCCACAGGCAGGACTGGGTGGGATTCTGCCCCTTCCTAATCACTCAAGAGTTAGGTGGCCCCTGCCCACCCCAGACCCCCATTCTGCTGGATCCTTCCCAAGGTCGAGAGCAGGGAGCACAAATGGTCACTCACCTCAAAGGTACCAGCCTTAAGCAGGGTGACCTGGTCATGCTGAGAAAGATCACGGAAGCCGGGGATGTGCTTGGCAAACTCTACCACCTCCCGCACTGCGGGCGTGAAGCTCATGGAGAAGTCCTCCCAGATCTCCTGCACAGTTCGCCCGCTGCGTCCATGAGGGTACATGTTCATGGGACATGCCTGGAAAAGGGGAGGATTTGAGGAAGGGAGTATGAGCCAGGCCAGCTCAGATGGGCTTCCCTAGCAGGGCTGGGCCCCAGATTCTGCCTGGGTTAGCGTTGTGGCCTTGGAGGATGGGTCTTTCAGGTAAAGCAGAAATCAAGTGCCAGGTGGAGATCAGGGTTTCCCAGGCAGAGCGCCTCCTGCAGGACTGAACATCCTCTCTGCACTTAGCCTCCACGCACACCCAGGGACCCCATGCTCAATCTGTTCTCCCCAGCCCCCTGCCCACTTCACCCCCAGTGCCCTCACCAGCAGAATGTTCTTGGAGTTGCCCTGCCGTGGACTGTTGACAGGGGCTTCACCTTCTGGGGCTGGGTACATGTGGGTGGGGCACAGGCGGTGCCCATTGCTGTTGGGCTGGTGGCAGCTGTGGTGGGCAGTGCTGGGGGGCCAGGGGGGAGGGTAGGAGGAGGAAGCCTGGCGTAAACTGTTCAGGGCCTCGTTGTGACGCTGGGCGGCCATGATGTTGTTGTCATTGGGGGCAGGCGGGCAGCCCTGACTTTCCCAGCGATGTGGGGTGGTGGCTGGACGGTTGCCCGAGGCATGGTTGGCATTGAAGTTGCCAGGTGAGGTGCCCAGCTTGTCATGGGCGTAGGTGAAGATCTCGCGGTGGGCCCGGGCTACCTGGGATATCACATCCTCCACTGTGGGCTCAGGACTTGGGGATCGAGGGGGTGTCAGCTGCTGGGGGAACTGGGAGAAGCCCACCAGGGGTGAGGGGGCAGGGGCTGGAGGGGGTGAGGGGCCCACGGGGCCCGGGGTGGGGTGCTGGGTGGGTGGGTTCTCCAGCGGGCACTGGCTGCTCAGCTGGTTGTTGGCCAGGTTCATGGCGCTCTGCATCTCGGCCAGCATCCGCTGCTTCTCTCGTTTGGGGATGCGCCCAAAACGCACAGCTGTGACAGGATGAGAGCAGTGTCAGGAAGTTCTCACGCACACTCACATGTTTCTCTTCCTTCCTCCTGAAAGGGCAAGCCCCGAGGACTTGGGGTTCCATATCAAAACTAAAACCCGGAAGACCACACCCATGGAGGGGGTTTTCCAAGTAGGGCTTGTGGTAGGAGGGGATCAGAGGGACTAAATGGGAAAAAAGTGTGTGTTTACCCAAGCCCTGATGAAGTATGGCCACCACCTCTGCAAACAAGACGCACAGTCTTGGCTCTTTTTAAGGGAGGGACTAATTCAGAAAAACCTCGAGTGGAAGAAAGGGGGAGGGCGCGGGGAAGCTGGCAGGGCCCTGGTGCTGCCTCACCGTCTCGAGACATGCCCACGGAGAGACACTTCTTGAAGCGGCATTGCTGGCAGCGGTTACGATTGATGCGGACGATGGAGCAGTTCTCATTTTTCAGACACCTTTTGTACTGGATGTTCTGCTGGATGCTCCGACGGAAAAAGCCCTGTGGAGCAGGGCAGCGAGTGAACATCCCGGTCCAGGCCAGGCCTATGTGTCCTGTGGGAGAGGGTCACCTGCCCCCGCCCTCCCCTCCTCCCTGCCTCACCTTGCAACCCTCGCAGGCGTGCACGCCGTAGTGGAAGCCCGAGGCCACGTCCCCACACACCTTACACAGCAGCACCATGCCATTCAGCTCTGCGGGAAGAGAGGGGAGGCAGGTAGACGGGGGCTTCTTAGTGGCCAGAGAGCTGGAGGTGTTCTGGGCTGGAAACTGGGTGAGGGGGAAGAGCTAAGGAGGAACTTTAGTATCTAGGGGGCACTTGGATGACCAGACGGGGCCAACAGCAGCTGGTGTAACTATAGGAGAAATCCCTGAGGCCTGAGTAGGCCCTGGAATAACTGTCACATGAAGATCAACTCCCCGCCTAGACCGGGACACCTTCCCTTCCCCCAAATCAGCTGGAAACTGACTCACTGGTGATGTTGCTGGTGCTTTTGCTGGGAGACACTCGGTTACTGTCTTCCAGGGCCACCTGTAGACCCCCTGGGGGGCTCCCATTATAGAAGGAAGAGGACGACGATGACGACGAGGAAGATGAAGAAGAAGAAGGAGAACCATCATCACCCAAGCTGGGCGGAATGCTCCCAAAAGAGCGAGCTGGGTCCTGGGTGAGGGAGCCAGTGGGTGATGGCGGGAAGTAGGTGGGGCAACCCTGGGTCAGGGACTGGAAGCTGCCATTCGAGCTGTCACTGTAGAGGGATTCAGGGCTGGTGCGGTTTGGGGAGGAGCCACTGGAGCCAATGTAGGTGATGACGCCACCTGGCAGGAGAACACAAGGGGAAGGGGTGTCAGCTGTTGGGCGCTCACAAGTTAACCATGCGGCGCCCCTTCTCTTGGACTCCCCAGAAGAGCCACAATAAGCAATTCCCCAGCATAAACCAGACATGGCCATCCAACCCCTGCAACTCTTGGCAGGTACCTCCCGAGTCTGCCTTGCGTGTAAGGTACCTCCCTAGAGGCATGACCTCTGTGATGCTCTGTGGCTATCTCACATATGTACTGCTCCCCCCACCCCCGCCCTGGATGACTTCCTTTCCAGTATCAAACGCAGCTAATGACTTAATTGTCAGCAGCTGACCTGGGGATGGGAGAGCAGCTGAAAACCATTCATAATGCACAAGCTTCAAGAAAAACAGCCCAGCTGCCGATTTTAATACCAAGACCATTCCAGGGATGAGACCATGGAGGGGCAGCTAGCCAACAGTGAGGAGAACAGAGGTCTTACAAGAATAAAACAATTACATTCTCTCAAAACTGAGAGACATCATCTCCAAAGGTACTGTTCCCCTGGCCTCCAAAATCAAGTCAGAGTAGACTCTATCTCTGAATCCAGGAAGGGCTTAACAGTATGAGCTGCAGGGGGTGGAAGTGAAGAACAAACTGTCCAGCCTAAAGCTTTGGAATTCCCCTTCCAGATCTCTCCGCCTGGTGACAATGACCTTGGCTCTCTAACCATACAGGGACTTTGGCCCTCTAGTTATATTGCCAACCAGATGGCCGAATTCCCATTGCATTAGCAGAATAAAAAAGCAACCTGTCTGCCACACCTTTGCCAAGTACCTCGCTTGGCCTGCCATCGGTGGGGTGGGAGAAGGGAGGATCCCAGGACACGTGTGAGCCGACACAGGCCATGCCACCCTGTCTACAGAGGCATGTCTTGCTCACCCACTGACACACACTAAGCTGGGCAGGGCCACCCTAAAATAGCTCAAGGTTGGTCAGGGTGAACCCAGTTCCCTGTAAAACAGTTGCACAACAGACCAGCTCCTACAGTTTCAGGGTTGAGGTGGGGGGATGGGGTATTTATTTGGTGGTAAATGAACCTGACCTAGTTCAGCCATCCCCAAAAGGAAGTAAGACTTTCATCCAAAGAGACTTCCAACCTGGAAGTGAGGGGCACATTCAAAAGAGTCTGGTTTTAGATCTGGTCTGTTTGGTCTACCACCAACAACTTGATTTGTGATCTAGAGGAAATCAACTCCCTTCTCAGAGCTCCAGTTTTACTTTCAGTGGGGAAGAAAAAAGAAAAGAAAGATGAAAAGAGACTTTATATCCTTTCAGCTATGTTTCTGAGATCTAGTTGTTTTGGTGGTGGTGGTTTACTCCCTAAGTTGCATCCGACTCTTGTGACCCCATGGACTGAAGTCCGCCAGGCTCCTCTCTCCATGGGACTTCCCAGGCAAGAATATTGGATTAGTTGCCATTTCCTTCTCCAGGGTATCTTCACCACCCAGGGATTGAACCCTGGTCTCCTGCATTGCAGGCAGATTTTTTACCGACTGGGGAAGTCCTTAGGAGGCAAGCTGCTTCTTGTTTGGTGGGGGAAGGGGTAAGAGTGTTGGCAGGATTAAGAAAAGAGATGCTGGCGAACAGAAGGAATTTGTATTGTGGAGAAGCTGACTCTATAGGCGGTACGGTGAAGTAGGTGCAAAGACAATAAATTGAAAAGGAGTGAGGAGAAAGCTAGATGTGAGGTCTCTTTGAGGAGTGTAAACATGAGGCCACGAGAGGTCAGGGATGACTCCGTCTTACTCTGCATCGGTTATGGCGAGGGGGCCCCCCCCTCCGACAAGCGGACAGGAAAAGGAGGCAGGCGGGGGCGGTGAGTCAGCCGAGCTTCACCCAGATCTCGGCGGGGCGGGGCGGGAGCCGGGCCCTCAGCCGGCCTCACGTCCCAGCTCCACGTGTGACTCTTGCACGTGGCTCCCCAACGAGGAACCCCAGTACCCGAGGCTCCGCCCTCTCCACTTCCGTCAATCGGGAGCAGTAGCCCCGCCCCCGTCCCGCCCCTCCTCGGAGTCCCGGGTCGGGGTCTTGGGCTGAGTTCCTAACACCAGCTAGGTCGGGACTACAAGGGGAGGAGAAAAGGGATCACGCGTTGCCGGGGCAACCGGGGGGCGGAGCTCATTATGTAACGGGGCCGGGAGGCAACCACCAATGGGGTGGCGGCCACGGCTTCTGCTGAATGAAAACAAACGCAGCACGTGGGCCCGGCTCTGCAGCCATGTGAGCGCTCCGGGCTGCCTGGGCGCTCTGGGTGTCCTCCCTGGGGCAGAGCACCACTCTTGGGGCTCCTCAAGTGCCACTCCCTACTGTAACTGAGGGTTCCCCAGTGAGATCCGACCCATTTCTCCAGTTCCTCCTGCCTGGAACCCGGGTCGCCCCTCTGCTTCTCAAGTTCCTGCGGACTCTGGGAGAAGAGGGAGATTGGAAGGAGGGGGTCCTCCTTCCGAAAAGTCCAGGCATGCCACAGCTGCAGCGGGAGGATAGATGGGGGCGTTTCAGGGCACTGTTCCAAAACTCCCAGTTCCTCTAAACTGCTCATCTCACCACACGTACCTACTCTCTCCATTCCCTCCTTCCCCGCGATCTGAGTCCTTCTAGCTAAAGCGAGCTTTGGGAGTCTGAAGGGTGACGGTGGAGCGCCCCCGGGCGCATTCCCAGGCCGAACAACCCGCTGTGGAAATCCCAGCCTCATGTCCATCACACTAGCAAATCCCCTGACCAAGGGAGTCCCCAGTCCCTTTCAAAGTTCCTCTTGTTCTAAGACGTAGAGGAGAGGAGACAGTGACAGAGAAAGAATGATGGTAGCAAAGGAATCTTAGTACCTGTGTTATTGTTAGAGTCCAGGGTCGTCATGTCTTCACTGGCTGACAGCGGTCATTCAAACTGGACCTTGACACAACTGGAGGTTACAGTTGCAGCTGTCGCCCCCTGGGCACTGGCCGAGGGCGGGGAGTGGACCCCCGCAGCTCACGATCAAGATCCGAGGCACTCTGCAGCAAGGTCTTGGCGGGGCCGGACTGCAGCCCTGCAGAAGGGTAGGACGCTGAGGCACCGAGGTCTGCTTTGCATGGGAAGAGCAGAGAGAGTGTGGGGGAAGGGGGCGGAGGGAATCAGCCTGCAGTACTTCTGGCTAGAAGGTAGCAAGGAGGGTCGGGTCTCTGCAGTGCACGGGGTGCCACTGCCTGACGACTCCGCAGCGCTGCAGGGTATCGAATCTGGAGCTCCTTGTGCAAAAGTCCCACAGGGAGAGAGGCTGCAGTCAGGAAGTAAGTAGGTGATGGGGAGAAACAGGGCACCCAGGCGCAAAGAAGCGAGACGTGTGCCCTGCTACGTTCCCTCGGCAGCAATATTTCACTCTGCCAATCTCAGCCGCCTTTTGCCCCAGCCTTTTTCCCTGGGACAGAGGGCTCTGCGCAGGCGCCAGCAACCCAGGGTTCCCGGGCCGCACGCGGCACTGGAGCAGGTACCATGTGATCCCAGGGAGCGCCTCGTGCCCCAGTGACACACTTTTCCAGCAGCAGGCACGTTGAGCTCGGTGCGCCTGCGTTAAAGCCGAGGCTGTCGGGATATGTAGTCCGTTGGCAAAGTGGGCGGACTGCGTTTATTTCCCCATTTCTGCTTGCACAAGCTCTTGCTGGAAACCGGGGAGGAGCTGCGAGCCTTGTGGGGTGGAGTGCGTTGTAGAGTCAGTGTGGCGTGTTTGGAAAGCTTGTATGGCAGAGGCATGTGAATTCCTGGGGAGGGACTGACAAGCTTGGCGGCTCCCTGGGAGATCAAAGCTAACAGCCCCTTTCTGCAAATCTTGCAAACGTGAGGGCTTCACGTGATTGTGGGACTGACCCTGCCTTGAGGTTAGTGATGACACGAGAGAGATGATAGAGGAGGGAGATAGCCCCACCGTCAGGAGCTTAAGCTCCTGCAGAGCCAAGTCCTGAGAGGGAAAGGAAATGTGACCCCTTTTGCGTTCTACTCCCCTTTGGGAAAGGAGTTGCCATGGGGTTGAGGATGTCCCTGGGGACTCCCTGTTTGCTTATATGCCACCACCCCACCCACTCAAGGTGACTTTGGGGTGAGTCATTTCCCTTTGTCTAGGAAATAAAAAGGACAAGGGAAGGAAACTGTGGTGAAAGTGTTTTGAGTTCCTAAAATAAAAGGACCAGAGGTAAGGCAGGGCTTGGGGGCAGAGTGACACCCCCCAGTTCCACCCCCCAGTGCTTCAGGGTAGTATGGGTTTCACATGGGAACACAGAGATCATCTTAACCCCCTATCCTTTACTGATGAGAATGAGGCTTAGAAGGAATGACTGGCCCAAGGTCAGACATCCATTGCTAGTTTTATTTGCCTACCATCAGGCAGTGAGCTGACATGAAAGTGAAACATTGAACAGGGATTAAAAACAGCCAGCATCTCCCTTCAGAGGAGTAACTCTACCCCACTGGTGAAAATGGGTCTCCAGTGGAGGTCTATCATGTTTTTTTGGTTTTTGGGTTTTTTTGGCCTTACCATGCAGCTTGTGGGATCCCTGACCAGGGATTGAACCCAGATCCCTGGCAGTAAGAGCTCAGAGTCCTAACCACTGGACTGCCAGGGAATTCCTCAGGTCTATACAGTTTGAGGACTTGGGTGTGGGGAGAGCTGAGAGCCTCTTCTTGAAGCAGCCCAGTGAACCCGCGCCACCTGCTGCTTCCTGCTAATCCCTCCTCAGCCCCACTGCTCCTAGGGAGGGTTTTGTTTGTTTGTTTTTTGCACACAGGAAGCCCTTCCCCACTTGTTCACAGACCACTCCTGGGACAGCACTGATGGATGCCTGGACACAGCCATCAAAGAGGTAGAGAAAAAGAGGCGTGTGGAGCCCGGGGAAGGAGTAAGCTGGGTGGTGAGGAAGTGAGTAAGCAGAGAGGACTGTGATGGTGACTGAAGTGAAGGCAGCTGGGCAGCTGGCCTGACCACTCGCTGACCCTCTGCCTCCCTGGGGAAGACAGATGGACTCCCTACAACGGCCTGGGATTTAGCTTTGTTCCCTTGCCCCCGAGAACAGTGGGAGAGAGAAGGCAGTGGGCTCTTCGCTGGGCTGCCCGGGCCCCTTGGCCCAGAGCTGGGAAGCTTCAGCCGAGCGTGGGAGGGCCTGGGAGGGGCTAGGACAAACAAGGAAAGAGGCTTTTCAGGAAAACTTGGTTCTGAACTTGGCCTCCACCCCCTCTCTCTCCTCCCTCAGGGCCCTGGGGGGAAAGATGGGGGGTGAGCTGCCTTGTGGGCACTGCATGCTCTCTGTGCCCTTCCTGAGTTTCCATCAGAGCCAGGACCCGAGCCCAGGGACCTGCCACCGCTGGATTCAAAATCAGGGACCTTGGCATGACCTCTAGCTCCCCACCAGCCTCAGCACTCCCATAGGCACACTCCCCTTAGTTGCCCTGTTTAGCACCGACAGCTGTTTGCTGCTGTGGTCACCCTGCCCACCCCTTGTTCTGCTTGCTGGGGTTTATTCCGATGGGGGGAGGGCCAGGGGTCAAGACTCCCTCCCTGAGTTTACAGCCAGTGAGAGGGAGGAGGAGGCAGAGACAGCATGAGCTGAAATGCAGTCAGCCTAACTCTTGGCAAGAAGCTGGGTTGTTTTGCAGTCTGTGTGAGGTATGAAAGCGGAGGCTGGGAGGGAGGAGGCAAAGAAGGGGGGTTCCTTCTGGGTCCTCCTTCCTCTGAACTTCTTACAGGGCCCCTCCTTTTCTCCCTGACAAGTAACTTTGGGATCTTCCTTCTAAAACTGGAGAGAAGGATACAGAACATTAAAGAGGCAGGATTCTCCCTTTGTTCCAGAAGCTTCTATCTATCCACCCTGCTCCTCTCTGTCAACAGCTGCTCGGAGGACACAGACTATGGGACTCAGAGCCACCAAAGGGAGGGAGAAAAGGCTGGGTTGTCTGGCCTTTGGGGACCTGTAATAGAATCTAGCTTTGGCCTCTCTTTCACTTCAGCCTTGACCTAAGACAACAGGTGTATATCAACATGGCCTCCCACCCCCTCCTGCCAGCTGGACATTCCAGTTCTCTTCTACACACACACAGACACACACATACATGTGTGCACTCATGCACCATATCTCCCATAGCCAAATTCAGCCCAAGAATTTGGACCCTTAATAAATAGTGCTCAGATGGAATCCAAGACCTGGCACAGCAAAGCACATCTGGCTCCATATTGCCCACACTTCTGCACAGATTCCTCAGAGTCTGAGATTCCAGACTGACCTCACCATTTAGGGACAGAGTGGGATCCCCTGTGTGTGTCTGTCTGTTTCCAACTATGTCTTAAATTCTCTTGGATTTCTTTGATTTGGGGAAGATAGCAGAGATAGGGTAGAGGAAAGGAAAACAGTGAGAGCCCTAAGCTCTGGCCTGAGTGTGTGTGTGTGTGATTGTAGAGACTGCATGTCTGAGTGTATAAGTGTGAATGGCAGGAGTTGTGTATGGATGTGTGTGTTTGATCCAAGACCTTTTCTCCTCATCAGTAGGACACTGGGTAACAGGACAACACCCTGTGCAAATCCTGGGTGGCCTAAATCTTGGGCCTGCTTCTTGACTGAATGAATGACTGATTGACTGAGGAGGGTGGGTCCTTGCTGGAAACCAGGTCAGGCTTCAGTGGGTGTCTTCCTCCCCCGCCCCTTTCTCACCGAGAGAACCATTGCCCCTGGGAAATAACCTACCTGCCCAAGACAGAAACCCTGGGAATGCCCCACACCCAGGCAGCAAGCCCTGCACTGGGAAAGACTCATTCCCAGCCCTCCTAGATCTTTTTTCCTGTTCTCTGAAAGGCCAGCCAGCTTTCCCTAACCCACCCAGAGCTTTGATGTCTTGTGGAGAATTTCAAGAGAATAAAGTAGGAGGGTTAAAGTCTGAGTTAATTTGTTCTTTGAGGGAGATGGAAAAAGGGAGGGTGAGGTATGATCCAGAGCTTGCTTCATGGATGTGTTTTGCCTCATATTCTATCTTTACCTCAGTACTCCTTTTTCCAAGGAAAGGGAATAATAAACAGGTACTGAGTACCAACTATAGGCTTCCCCAGTGGCACTAGTAGTAAAGAACCCACCTGCCAATGCAGAAGACATGGGTTCGATCCCTGGGTCGGGAAGATCCCCTGAAGGAGGGCATGGCAACCCACTCCAATATTCTTGCCTGGAGAATCCCATGGACAGAGGAGCCTGGTGGGCTACAGTTCATGGAGTTGCAAAGAGTAAGACACAACTGAAGTGACTTAGCATGCACACCAACTATATGCCAGGCACTGGGCTAAGTGTATTACACACATTATTTCATTGAATACCACAACTACCCTATGCTGTAGGTCTCATTCTGAGTTTAGAGATGGGGAGTCTGAGACCTAGAGCCATTTATTCACTTGCCCAGGATGCTTCAGAGACTAGGCAATTTGCCTTGAAGCTGTATTTGAAGTGTGTAAAACTGAGATGTCACATTAAATAATGGTGGGAAAAAAATAATAGTGGAGTTAATGGATGTTTTGGAGGTGCTAAAACTCCCCCAGCTGTCTCTTGGAACTACCAAGACACAATGAAAATGGGGATGTTGGAAATTCAACCCTGAGCCTGTGGATCAAACTCTTTCCCCTAGCAAGACTGCCCTTCCTGGAGAGAAGGATTACACCGAGTGGAATGTCTGAGCTGCAAGCTCATCCTGGTGCTACAAGTGAGCTGTGTCACCATGAAGGGGAAGCCTGAAGCACCTCTTGCTCCTGACCCCACAAGTACCTTAGCCATCCAACCCTTTTTCTTCTTCCCTTAAACTCCCTTCTCCCTCCTCCAGTCCCCTCTTCTGGTGAGGTAGAAGGGGGCCAGAATAAG